GGCCTATGTGACTCAGTGGTTGAACTTTGACCTGTGAACCAGGAGGTCACGGTTCAATTCCGGGTCAGGGCACATGCCTAGTATGGGCTCAATTCCCAGTGTGGGGCGTGCAGGAGGCAGCCAATCAATGATTCTCTCTCATCATTGATGTTTCTATCTCTCTCTCCCTCTTCCTTCCTCTCTGAAATCAATAAAAATATTTTTTTAATACTTTTTTTTTTATAAGAAACATAGTATTCTACTGCAGTGGATGTATCATAATTGACTTAATCAATCCCTTGTTGCTGGACCCCAATGTGTTCATTATTTAAAATAACAATAGTATAAATAGCCTTGTGTTTATCTTGGCCTTAGGATAGCCTTGGAATAAGTTTTTGGATCACAGTTTATGCATACTTTAAATTTTGTTAGAAATCCTCCATTTCTCTCTTGTGAGGCCGTAGCAACTTATAGTTCCACCAACGTCAGCTTATAGAAACCTGCAGCTCCTATCTTGCAAAGTAAAATATTTAACAAAGGAACTCTAAAATATTTACTAGGAGAAGACTTCTCATCCCTTACTTACCAAAGACTCCTATTTCAATCAAAGACTCTCTAAAGATTATTTCAATTGATACTCTGTTGTAATTAGACCCACACATAAACTTCCCAGGGAGATGGCAACCCACCATATTTATAAAAGCCTATGTAGTTTTAAAAGCTTTCAACAGCCACTACAAGGAAATCCTTTTGATGGGGAACTTCAAAGCCTTGTTTTGGTTAAGGCTCTTTTCTTTTTGTTTCAACTTCAGTAAAAAGATGAAATACCTGATTCCTTTTCCTGAGAAGTAGATCTTAGTCATTAAAGGCATGTCTCCACAAGCAGAGCTGCACCAGGGCCAGACCATAGGTAGGTCAATGAACCAGAAATGCTACTGCTCCATTCAAACAACCCTGAAAATTAGAGTGTGTCAGCTGTTGTCCAATCTAGCCAGGCAAGAGCCTAGAGAGGTTAGAGACTTGCCCAAGGTCACCTGTTACTAGTTAGTGACAAATCCCAGACTCAGCCCCAAATCTATCTGACTTTGGGACTCATTTCGGTGCCTTGATTTATATTTTTCCCAACTTCAAATAGGAGTTTTATTTTTATTGAGGTAGAATTGACATATAACATTATCTTAGTTTTGGGTGTACAACATGATTCCATATTTGTATATATTGCAAAATGATCACCACAATAAGTCTAGGTAACATCCATCACCACGCATAGTTACAATTTCTTAAAGAACTTTTAAGATCCATCATATTATTTTCTATAAGTGCCAAAAGAACCTTACAAAGTAGTTAGCATTAGGACCATTTTTGCAAATGAAGTAAGAATATATATGTTCACAGAGCAGAAGTTAGCAAAGCACCTCCACTTGCTTTTCCAAATAAAGAACTTTTGGAACATAGCCACACTCATTTGTTTATATGTTGTCTTTGGCTGCTTTTGCATTACAACAGCAGAGTTGAGTAGTTCTAACAGAGACCATATGGCCCCCCTACAAAGTAGTTAGAATTAGGACCATTTTTGCAAATGAGGTAAGAATATATATGTTCGCAGAGCAGAAGTTAGCAAAGCACCTCCACTTGCTTTTCCAAATAAAGAATTTTTGGAACATAGCCACACTCATTTGTTTATATGTTGTCTTTGGCTGCTTTTGCATTACAACAGCAGAGTTGAGTAGTTCTAACAGAGACCATATGGCCCCCCAAAACCTAACAACTTACTTTCTGGCCCTGTAATAAAAAGTCTATTTCCTGGCCTATGTGACTCAGTGGTTGAACTTTGACCTGTGAACCAGGAGGTCACGGTTCAATTCCGGGTCAGGGCACATGCCTAGTATGGGCTCAATTCCCAGTGTGGGGCGTGCAGGAGGCAGCCAATCAATGATTCTCTCTCATCATAGATGTTTCTATCTCTCTCCCTCTCCCTTCCTCTCTGAAATCAATACAAATATATCTTTAAAAAATGTTTGTTGACCCTGGCATATAGTAGAAATTAGAGCCAATAATCAAATTCCAAAAATTTATGCTCCATCAATACAAATATATTTTAAAAAAGGTTTGTTGACCCTGGCATATAGTAGAAATTAGAGCCAATAATCAAATTCCAAAAATTTATGCCCCATTACTTAGTCTAACTATGCCTGCTCATTGTGTATTACAGATTTTTGCAAAGTTTTTGTTTTTTAATATATTTTATTGATTTTTTACAGAGAGGAAGGGAGAGGGATAGAGAGTTAGAAACATCGATGAGAGAGAAACATCAATCAGCTGCCTCCTGCATACCCCCTACTGGGGATATGCCCTCAACCAAGGGACATGCCCTTTACCAGAATCGAACCTGGGACCTTTCAGTCCGCAGGCCGACACTCTATCCACTGAGCCAAACCAGTCAGGGCAGATTTTTTCAAAGTTTTTGACAGTATTCCTCTTATCCTTGTGGACACGTTAGAGTACTGTGGCCTGGATGACAGTATAGTTACATGTTAATTCTGTCTATACATGAGGGTCATCTCACAGTCATCCCAACTGGACTTGCCCAGTCAGTCACATATATGTTTTATATATACAGTACTAGTAGTCCTCTCCCATTAGTGAGGGATACATTTCAAGACCCCCCACTGAATGCCTGAAACTGCAGATAGTACCAAAGAACCCTTTACACTGCTTTTTCCTATGCATACATACCTATGATAGAGTTTAATTTATAAATTGGGCACAGTAAGGGATTAACAATAAATAATAATAAAATAGAACAATTATAACAATATACTGTAATAAAAGTTATGTGAATAGCTTTTGGGGTATAACTAAGTAGAACTGAACACAGGCACTGAGATACCACAACAGTCAATCTGATAACCGAGATGGCAACTAAGTGACTAAGGGGCAGGTAGTGTACACAGTGTGGGTACCCTGTACAAAGGGCTGAGTTACGTCCTCAGTCACGTCCTGGCAGATGGAGCAGGATTTCATCATGCTACTCAGAGCAGCATGCAATTTCAAACTTCTAAATGGTTTACTTCTGGAATTTTTAATATTTTCAGTTCACTGTTGACCATAGGTAACTAAAACCACAAAAAATAAAACCATGGATAAAGGAGGACTACTGCAGTTATTTTGGTGGTTTCTTGGAGCTGAAGAAAGCCTTACCATGCTTTCTTTTGAGGAGGGGTTCGACAAGCTATTTCAAAAACTCAGAAGGAAAGGGGAAGTTTTAGAGATAATACTATTTCAACTTCAGCAAGAAAGAGAAAGAAGAAAGAATTTGGCAGAAGTATAGACAAAAAATAAGTAAATCATTTTCCATCACCCCCTCACCCCACCAAACTTTGAGTCGCATCATTTAGTATAGCTTCATTGTTAATTTGAGTGATTGCAAAGAACATCCAAACACAATAATTAAACTGCATTCTAGTATTAACTATAAATTATTTGGTATAATCTGGGATTTGTATAAATATAGGGTTAAATCCAGGCAGACTGGCTCTAGAATCCATGATCTTAATCACTATGTGATATAAATATTTATTTAACTGAACGTAAACATACATTTAACTTAAATGTACAGTGCTTAGCACAGAATAGTCAAGTCTATGAGTAGTAGATGTTATTATTTCAAGTAGAGGAAGAAGACATATACAGTTGTAGGGTACACTATCTAAGAATATAAACTTGGTGTGTTTGTTACTACATGGAGAGAGTCTACCAGAAAATAAACCCAACACAAAGAAAGAAGAACCAAAAGATGGTAAGGAAGAATCCTGATGATGCATTTGATGCCCAAGAACCAGCTGTGCCTGTAGTCAGTATCTTGGACTTGGTTATGTGTGCCAATAAATTCTTTTTTTTTTTTTAATCCTCACCTGAGGACATGCTTAGAGAGAAGGGAGAGAGGGAAGGAGGGATGATGGAAAGCAAGGGAGAGAAGGAGAGGGAAACATTAATATGAGAGAGAAACATTGATGTGAGAGAGAAACATCGCTAGGCTGCCTTCTGTTTGCGGCCGACTAGGGATCAAACTTACAGCCCAGGTATGTGCCCTGACCGGAATCGAAATGGCAACCTTCTGGTGGACGAGATGATGATGCTCAACCAACTGTGTCACTCCAGCTGGGCAAATTCTCCTTTTTTGTTTAAGCAAAATTGAATTGAATTTCCATCACTTGCTACTGAGAGTTTTAGCAGCTTTACAATACAAAAATTTATCAGGCATGCATTATGTGTCAGGCACTCTATCAATAATCAGAACGGTGAACATACTTACGATTTTTGTTCTTGGATTTGCTTTCACAGTGTGAGCCAGTACCTGAAGCAGCTGGTTCAGAAAAAGGTGTCATTTCATGGTAATTTACAGGTGCTTGGAGGGTAAACAATCATCCCCTCAGAAGCCAAGGAGATTCGAGAGTTCTTGTCATAGATTGCAAATAAATGACCACAGATTTTTGTGGGGTCTATTTCTACATCCTGGGGTTTGGCTTGTGACATGCTCTGGCTAATGTGACATTAGTAAATGACATCCAAACATTTGAAATTTTGTGTGTAGAGCAGTGATTTTCAACATTTTTCATCTCATGTACACATAAACTAACTACTAAACTTCTGTGGCACACCAAAAAGTGTATATTTTTCATCAATCTGACAAAATAATATAATATTGATTCATTCACACCAATGGCTATTGTGTTGTTGGCTGTCATTTTTTTATTTCACAGTCGAAGGCAGCGGTTCTCAACCTGTGGGTCACGACCCCTTAGGGGGTCGAACAACCCTTTCACAGGGGTCGCCTAAGACCATTGGAAAACACATATATAATTACATATTGTTTTTGTGATTAATCACTATGCTTTAATTATGTTCAATTTGTAACAATGAAATTGGGGGTCACCACAACATGAGGAACTGTATTAAAGGGTCGCGGCATTAGGAAGGTTGAGAACCACTGGTCTAAGGGAAAACAGGTCAGTGCCCCTAACTAGTCAGTTATTGCATGTTTTACATGTTTTAAAAATTCTTGCAGCACACCAGTTGAAAATTGCTTGTGTAGAGGAATTGTTGGCCATGTCACATAGCCATAGCTGAAAGTCTCTTCCACAGTTTATTTTTAAGTATTAATTTGTATTCGACAGGACCTTGCAATGTCATGTAAAGAAATCCAACAGAATTAGTTAGGACGTTTAGAGTTTTGAATCACAGAAAACCCCCAATACAAATCTGCTTAAACAACACAGGGCATGTATGACACCATTCTAAACAGTGTAGATATTAGTCTGTAGGCCAAACAGGTGAGGTCTGATAGTGCAGCTCTAGTGATGCCACCACACATACGGTTCTTCTCCTCTGCAGAACGCATTTGACAATATTGACTGCATCTTCAGGCTCTCTGGTGCCTGTCCCTTAAGCCCATCTCCTTCAGGCTTTCCTCTCGTAGGAGCAAAATGGTTGCACATTTTTAGCCTTCATGTACTTACACCACACCAGAAAAACAAGGGCACTGCAATTTACTGCACTCCTCAACTGAAGTCTCTGTGGGGCTCCTTGGCTCTGATTGGGTTACATGACCATCTCCGAAACGCTCAGCCACTGGAGGGTATGGTTATGCTGCACGGCTTCAATTGGGAGGAATGAAGACTCAGGAGGCAAAAAACAAGTATGTTCTATAACCACACAAATTCGTCCTAAATAATAAAAAATAAACGTATCAGCTCACCCAGCTAGGGTCACATGCTCAAAGCACTTAAAGAAGAGCTATAAAAACCATGGCCTCTGAAACGGAAACCAGTTTTCATGCTGCCAGCTCTTGGTTTCTCTCCCTTCCCATCCACATCACCTGCCTCTGTAGCGCCCCCGCCGCCTGCCCCCCACCCCCTTGGCCTCATTCATTCCTATGGTAGACAGGTCTGTTTATGTGATGAAGAACATGGCCAGCAGCTGTTACTGTTAGGCCTTCAGGGCAATCCAATCCTCAGGGCCATTAGTTAGCCTCCGGGCACAGGAGAACAAAAGACCAGGAAAAACTCGCTGGACACCAGGGCTAAGACCATACAAGGAATGAAAACTGCCTGGAGGCACCTGATCGCACACCTGCATTCCATTCCCATTCCAACCCACCAGCTCAGCCCCCAAACCCACCAGTGACTGCATATAAGGATGAGACTCCAGCTCCTGGGAGCTGCCATCATTGACCCGATGTCCCCTTGGCTCGGTGCTGTGCAGCCCTTCCCTTCGAATGTCCCATCCCCCACCCCCTTCCCTTAAGTAAATTCAATTAAACCACCATCTGAGATGGCTATTTAGCCTCCCCGGGCACACCACCATGCTAACCATCCACCAGGTTCACCTTCCATGTCTACGTCCATATAACCATTTCAAGCAAGGGCTCACAAATGCCCCAACTTGAGTCAGTGTCTACCTTCGGCCCAGTTAGTGTTGCCAGAGGCAAAGAGTATGGGGACTTGCCCACCTTAGTAACCAGGCGACACTTTTGTTGACACTTTTGTTGCCAGAGCGAAAACCAGAAAGCTCCGCACGCAGTCAGAAGACAGTATCTTGGTGTCTGATGGTGGGAGGCTCTTGAAGGTCAGGCGGAGGGGCTGGCTTCACTGGGTAGAAAATGCAGAGTACAAGGGAGAGACCTCCTGTCGGATCGGCGGGAGCTGATTTGGGAGGTGCCCTGCAAGATGGGTTACGGAGGTTTAATGTGCAAGGAGGCGCTGAAGAGAGTATTGACCCAGGAATGGAAGGGGTTGGGAAGGACTATCTATCTCAAATCCTATTTCCCTCACCAAGCTGCCAAACTTTATAAAACAGGAACATTTCAGAAGACCCCTGACTTCCAGCCCTGCTTTAACAGAACAATTCCTTAAGACTTTATGAAGGACTTCCGGGGGGAACTCCTTATTTCCACCCTTCCTCAAGATTCAGTTCTATTTGCAAGCTCACGGTGCACTGCGCAATTCTAAGTTCTAACTCAGATGTTTCTTGGTAAATGTTGAACCAAAGAAGGTGGCGGAAGAGCAAACCCGACTCTTGTCAATACCGATTTTTAAAAGATGTTCATTTCTATTGATTTCAGAGAGAGGAAGGGAGAGGGAGAGATACATCAATGAGAGAGAAGAACTGATCAGCTGCCTCCTGCACGCCCCCTACTGGGGATCGAGCCCACAACCCGGGCCTGTGCCCTGACCGGGCATGGAAACCAGACCCTTCAGTCCACAGGCCCACGCTCCAGCCCCTGAGCCAAACCCGCCTGGATTTTTTTATTTTTATTTTTTTTAGAAATTCTGAGGATGGTCCAGAGCTTCATGTCTTTCCTCACGGGCCCAGAAGCTTTCTTTAACCAACAGCCCTCAGAGCAGGAGTCCTCGCCCCAAGCCAAAGCTGCCCCACCCAGCCCCAGGCCGGGAAGATGTCCCACCCAGGCGCAGGCTGGGCCGGCCTTCCAGGCTGGTTTAACTGGTTAGGACGACTGAAGCCGCTGGTACAGAAGGCCTGATCTTCGGTAGCTGAGGAACAGACTGGCCAGAGCGTGCAGAGGGAAGGTACGTCCCTTCTCAAGGCGCTGCCCCCAAACCAAGAGCAGCGGCGGTAGGTGTACGTCCCACCCAGTCCCCCAGGACCAGGAACTGCGCAGGCGCCTCGAGGGCACCAGCGCGGCGCGTTCTTTCGCGCGCTCCCTCTGTCTTCTCCGCGAGCTTCAGGGCCGCAGGAGGCGCGGTGCTTCCTGGGAGTTGTAGTGTGCTTCCTTCACAAAGGGCCCTCCTGTGGACTGGGCTCTGGGTTTCCGAGAACTACGCCTCCCGACGTATCCCGCGCGCGGGCACCGGGCGTGTGCCCAGGTCGGCCTTAGCCGTCAGCGCAGAGTGAAGGACCCGGGAAGCCGGCTGCGGCGGGAGGAGGGAATGCGCTTGCGCGCTGGGCCAGCCTGTCCCGTTCGTCCCAATCGTTGTAAACAGGCGGAGGCAGGGCGGGGTGAGAATGGGGCGCCCGAGGCCGGCCAGGGGCGCAGCGCAGGAGGAGGCTTCGGTGGCTGCGGCGGCAGCGTGAGCGCAAGGAGGCGGTGGCTGCGGCGCGGGTGGGCGGTCGCGCGGCGGCGGGCACAGGTTAGTGAGGGGCAGCGGTGGCGCGCAGGGGTCGCAGGGCGCCCCCCTCGCGTGCCCGGGGAGCCCTCTCCGCACCCGCCTGGCAGTAGCGTCTGTCAGGCAGCCAGCGGGGCTGGGCTGGAGTTGGGGGTGGGGGGCGTGGCTGCCCCTAGTGCGGGTGCTTCCCAGGCTGGCTTTTCCTCGGATCTCGCCCTTTGCTGCGCGTTCCTCCCACTTCCCGGCCGGGCCTCCCTCGTGGCAGCCGCGTTTGTAATTTGGTGCTCGAGGTCTGGAGGAGCGCCGCCCGGAACCCAGCCCCTCCCCCCGTGGGCTCCAGGCCTCGGGGCAGCTCTTGGGCACCTCGGAACGGGAGAGGGGCTCAGTCTTTTATGTAACTGTACTGTTTCCCAATTGCACCCCGAATATTGGCCCGTCTCCATTGCTTGCCCAGCGGACCGGGAGGGGCTCCTGGTGTGTCCCACCGCCGGGTGTAAGCAGTGGGGCTCCTCCGCGTGCTGCGGTCCTTAGTTCAGGGCTCAGTGGGAACGGACGGACAGATCTGGGGCCCAGACTGCCTTTCACAGCACATTTCCACCTGTGCTTTTGCCAAAATGCTGTTGTTGAGGTCAGCTGTTTTGTGTGTGTGTGTGTGTGTGTTTAATCGTTGTAAAACAGGTTTTACAAAATATTCCACACCCCAGTCCTGCCTGAAGTAATTATGCTGTTTCAAGTTTGGGAATTCATTACTACAGAGCCTCCCTCTTGAGCAAGCATCATTATTCCCCCTAGGGCCTGATAGAATTCTTGAAGATAATTAAAATGTTAATTCGAGATTGCGTGCATGTGCGTACCAAAGAAGTCCGGTGCAGTGGTGTGGACAGTGCGTTCGAAAAGCTCTTCCCTGGATTTTTTTGTGGAGTGCAGTGGGCATGTCCAGTGCTGGAACGCTTTAGTAGCATTCCATCGTTCTTGGCAGAACATCGTTCTTATCACAACATAGTTAGGTGGTGATAAGGCATAGGCCCGCTTTTGGTTTGGTGATCCCAGCGGCAGCGCTTCCAAATGGGGCGGCGAATGAGAAAGTAACCTCACTTTCTGTGAGTGATCTCGGTGATTGGATAATTCCTTTCTGAGTATTTTCCCGAAGGTGAATAATTGCTGTAAGCTGTATTGGCAGTAGGAGGGAATTAGTGGAGCGGTTCCCACTTTTCAAAGTGACCCATGATTTCAGTGGGGTAGGTAGGCAAGTGTAACAGTAACCATAGAGAATTCTTTAAACAAAGTATCTTCAAGCAGTGGACCATAACTTAAATGCTTTCTCTTCAAAATAGTATTTCTCACGTTAGATCTTTTCAGGGACCATTTATTCCCTAATTTAGAGAAAGAAGTGGTATCAGAAAATGCATAGTAACTTTAATTTGTACAGTTGTATTTGCACAGTTGTTTGCTTGTCCAGAAGAGATTGGGTCCTGGATGTAACCTAAAAGTATGTTCTTTTCTGGAAGGGAGAGGGAAGAGAGAGTTAGAAACATCAATGATGAGAAAGAATCATTGATCTGCTGCCTCCTGCACACCCCTACTGGGGATCGAGCCCACAACCCCGGCGTGTGCCCTTGACCGGAATTGAACCTGGGACCCTTCAGTCCTTAGGCCGATGCTCTATCCACTGAACCAAACTGGCTATGGGGTTTTTTTTTTTTTTTTTTTTTTTTAGAAAAATCACAATAGAAACTTGTGTTAGTATATGTGGAGAGAATAAGGGAAAATGTGGATCATTTAGTATAGAGGAATTACTGTGTAGCAGCTGCTGTACTAGGTGAAGAGGACTTGCAGAAGGAAAAGGCAGTGCCCCTGCCTTCAGAGTGGTAAGACTATCTCTTATTTGAATTGTCAACAAGTACAGTATATTTTTAAGATTGCTTTAATTGTAGAAAGTATGGGGTACAGTGAGTGTAGAAAGGAGAAGGAGGTAGTGGTCAGTTTCTTAAGAGAAAAGAGATTGAGGAAGGGGGCAGTAGTAAGGAAAAAGTATATTTAGGAGGGATGAAAACATTTAAGTATACAGGCATAAAAAGTACACAGACAGATGGGCATTTAGGTAGAAAGAACAGTGTGAGCCAAGAAGCACGGGAGTCTAAACTTACATAATGAATTGGATCTGCAAGTATAGCTAGAGAGAGTATAGGCTGGTGGCAAGACATGAAATATGGGAGCTAGGCAGAACCAAATCATGGATAGTCTTGTATACAGTTGAAGTGATTTCAACTTTACTTTGTAAGTAAGTGGGGGTCATTGAGACAGGATAAACAAGAGAGGCTTAAGCCAGCACAACCTGTTTTAACCACCTGCTGTGTGTTAAGTATTATATCAGGTTCTTTATACCTTAGGTCCTTAAACTTAGGCATAGGCATGACTGAAGGAAGAAAGGAACTTAAGACAGAGGGAAAGTTGGACTTGATGAGAGAGAGCATGGTACATTTTTACGAATGGAAAGTTGCTCTCTACCGCTATATCATCGGGTTTATTATAAGTTTTGGGTTTATGGTAAGTAGCAGAAGATGAGGCTGCACAGATAGATCCTCAAGTATCTGGCATTCTAAGGGTTCTAGAAATCTTTTCCTATAGATAGTAATAGAGTTTATGGATTTTAATCAGGGGAGAGTCACGATAAGGGTTTTATTTAGAAAGATCATTCTTGGTATTGGAGAATATAAATTTCAGAAGGGATAAAGGGAAGATAAGGCAGCAGGCAGAAAGGTTAGAAGTTTTTGTAATAATTGAGGTGACAGATAAGGGCCTAAACAAAGGTAGTGTCAGTGGAGAAACAGTGGAATAGGTTAATACCACAAATATTTAGAAGGTAGGATTCATAGATTTGGGAAATGAGAAATAATAGGATAAGATGACTTGGATTTTAATTTGGGTGATTGAATAAACAATGGTAAAGTATACTGAGACAGAATTCTGGAAGGGGTCCAGATTTGGGGAGGAACAGTATTTTGCTTTTGAATATATTGAGTGGAAGTCATTTAGGAAGCATCCAGGTGGAAACCCCTTCTGTAGAGTTGGATGTGTGGGTTTGGAGTACAAGAGAGGTCTTGGTAAGATCATCATCAGGCTATGCATATTGTAAGTGGTCGCTGAAGCCTTTGATGACACTGCATAGGAAGAGCTTACTGATGGAGAATAGTTCTGGAAAAAGGACATGGAGAAAAAAAAACATGTAAAGCCAGATAGAAGAAGAGCTGGGAAAGGAAATGCCAAAGTGTTTCGAGTTGTGGAGAAACCATAAGAAAATGTCGTAGAAACCCAAATGGGATCATTTTAAAAGGAAGCTATACTTCATAACCAACTCCAGAAAAGATAAAAATTAAGAAAAGGAAGCTGTACTTCAAATGCTGTGAGAACTTTAGTTAAACAAGGATTATGAAGGTTCTATTGAATTTGATAATAGTTTTGTAGCATTCTACTTAATGCTAACAATTGGGAAAGAAGCTAGGTTTCCTTTAATTGGGGGGTCAGAGACAGAAAGCAAATGTAGACTACTTCAAGAATAAGCAAATCTTAGCTGTGAGGGGAAGAATAGAAGGAGGTATTAGAAGGGGGTAATAAAAGGTTAAAGGAGGGATTTTTAACATGGCAAAGACTTGGGACTGCTTTTTTTCTAACAGTTTTGTTGATATATAATTAAGATAACATAAAATTTATTCTCTTAAAGTTTACAAAAGACTCAGTGGACTGGTCATGGTTCGATTCCAGGTCAGGGCACATGCCCAGGTTTTGGGCTCTGTCCCCAGTAGGGTCGTGCAGGAGGCAGCCAATCAGTGATTCGTCTTCTGCTGCCTGCATCTCACTGCCAGGGGGAGTTAAAAGATAGTGAGATAAAGTTTAGTCTTCAAACATTATTTTACAACTACAGGACCGGTGCACGAATTACGGGGGTGGGGTGTGGGGCTCAGCCCAGCCTGCACTCTCTCCAATCCAGGACCCCTTGGGGGATGTCTGACTGCCCGTTTAGCCCTGATCCCGGGGAATCGGGGCCAATCGGGCAGTTGGACATCCCTCTCACAATCCGGCCGGCTGGCTCCCAACTGCTTACCTGCCTGCCTGACTGATCACCCCTAACTGCCCCCCCCCCCACTGGCCTGGTTGTTCTCTCTGATGTTTTTCTCCTCCCTTCTCTCTGAAATCAATATAAATATATTTTTTAAAAATAAAGTTTACAATGCAGTGGTTTTTAGTATATTCACTGAGTTGTGCAGCCATCTCCACAATAAATTTTAGAACATTTTACTCCGAAAGAAAAACTTATTCATTATCAGTCATTCACCATTCCCCCTCTCCTATCCACTAGCAACCACTAATCAACTTTCTGTCTCTCTGGAGTTGCCTACTCTGGACATTTCACATCAATGGAATCATATATGTCAGTGATGGCGAACCTTTTGAGCTCGGCGTGT